CTATCGAAAGTTTTTATATTATCAAGTGGTGGATAAGAACAGCCAACTGCTGCCCAGTATAGGTGACTCAGTAGAACAATCAAGCAACTAATCTTCACCATATCCCACAAAAAGTAGAGAAAGGTATTTCATGACCTCACCAGGCCTGAAATAAAATAACCAAAACAAGAACAAAGAGTGATATGTGGGAAAGAAAAAACAGATATTAACCTGGCTGAAATTCTGCTTCTCCATCTCTGAGAGCTCAATAAGAACTTCTTGAGCGACTTGCTCTACCTTAGAACGGCAAAGAGGCATAGAGAAACAAACATCCTGATGCCAATATTGTACAGTGAAAAAACGTAAGACACATAGAAAAAAATGGACAAAGAAAGCAGTACAAGGTCCATACTCAGCTGATACACAAAAAACAGACAACAAAGACAAGGTTACACACAACAGTACAAGGACCATCATCAGCCTGAAACATAACATTTAAAGAACAAAAAGGCAAAAATAACAAGAGAACTGCGAACATTTATACAATTAAGATGAGTACACTTCTAAAAAAATAATAATAATACTTGCAACTTACATGCTCTCTTAACAATGATCTCAAGGCTCCTGTTGACTGTGAGATATAAGCATTGTTGAAGCGTTTTGAGCCACCAGCGACATCAGAACCAGTGAACATCACCACAAAATATGGAGTACACACTATAAGATTTGTAAACGAAAACAGAAATCAGTGTGGAGTTCATATGGAAAAAATAAAGAGGGTTTAGGGCATAAGACTCCACAAAGTAAAGTTTATGCCTTCTCGAAGCTAAATCAATGAAATAAGACATTCTTGTTTTGTGTATGATGATTTATACTTATATGCAAAAGCTAACATAAAAAAAGATTTAGCACAGACTGAAAAATGGGGAGAAATTAATCCTTGTATGTTACATAAGGCATGATTCATTAATTGTATCCCCACTCTTAGAAGAAGGCTAGGAGCCTTGCAATAGAGGAACAATTGTACATCAATAAATAATAAATTAAGAGAGTTCAAAGAGTAATACATATATAAACACACATAAAAGTGGCTTGAAAAAACACAATATATGGGCATAGGTAATTACCGTAAAAGATATTACAGATCCCATTG